TAGATAGATAGATAGATAGATAGATAGATAGATAGATAGATAGATAGCTGTACATGGTAACACACATCTGAAATATTAGTGCTGAGGAGACAGAGACAGACAGATTCCTGAGGCTCACTGACCAGGTAGCCCAGCTTAATAATGGAACTCCAGGCCCATGAGAGACCCTGTCTCAAAAAACAAGGTGGATGCTTATGAGAAACAATACTGGAACTCATCCTCTACCTCCAAACATGTGCGTAAATACTTGTACATGCATCCACACAACTGAACACACACATGTATGTGGATTTTTAAAAATACTCTTGTTAATTCAATCTGAACTTTTTTTTTACTTCTCAGATATTTTTTCTATGTATATATACACATATTATTATATGTATTTATTGGTCATTTGAATTTCCTTGTTGGTTATGTCTGCTTTCTTCGTTGTTAGTTGCAAAGGTTCTTTATATGAATAATATAGGTAATAACTATCCTGTGTGCGTTTAGTACGACATTTTAAGACATAGAAACCTTTGATGTTTGTGGAAACAGATCTGTTAACATTTTCTTTGCAGATTTCTTATTTCTTCCTTTGACGTCTTATATAAAAAGTCCTTCAGCTCAAAATGGTCTATTTTTAGATGAGCTGCCCCGACCTTTGCCCTTTACTAAAGGAGGATGAGATGAAGAAAGGCGCATAACATCTCTGTGAGCTCAGAAACCAACAAGAGAAAACACATAAATTTCAAATGGCTGGATGGGGCCAGCAAGGGAGAACTCTGCTCTCAGCATTAAAAGCCGGATGTAGCTGTGACCTGGAAATAGAATATCTTTTCCTATTGTCAAGTCTGATTTGGTTTCAAGCAGCCCTAAAGCACAGTCAGAGAAGATTCCCAAGAGATGGAATTTGTCAAAGCCACAGTCTGGACCTGGACCCGAAAGCTTTCCTGCCCCCACCCCCACCCCAGGAGGGGCCACCGCCTCTCTCTTTCAGACACAGGTAGGTGCAAATCCCAATAGTGTTAATATCCTGGTTAGGTACGCGCTTGTTTCTGAGTGATTGAGAAGCAACTGTTTGACCAAAAGAACTATTTAGGAAAAAAAAAAAAAAGCGTAGGGCAGGAGGAAGGAAAGCCTACCCACCCACCCACCCCCATCCCCCCGGCCACATGCACCTGGCAAAGCCCCCCTCCCTAGGGGCCACTCCTTCCCTGGACAGCTGGTGTTTCCCACCCCCGCCCCAGGCCTGGCCCCCAGCCATAGACATGCTCCAAATGATGTCTATCCTAGACGGATCTTTGCAGATGCTATTTTGATAAAACTCTAATCCTTTCCCTGCTCCTCTGCCATTAACCCTCAACCCCCTGTCTTTGTGCTGGTGAGCCTGCGTGTTTGGTGAAAGGAGGGGGCAGGAGACAGGGTAACTTCAGAACCAGCAAACACAGTCTCCAGTTTCATGGGCTGGAACAATGTAGGGAGATGACTGTCTGATCTCAGCTATTGGAGACAGACAGGCTGCGGAGAGAGGCCACCCTAGCTGGCCTTCCACTGTCTGGAAATCCAACACAGGAGAGGTTGTGTGGAATACTATGAATGTACTGACCCATTTCTTCTAGGTATAAATACAGATTTCGTTTTCCATCTCCCCCTCTCCTCTACCCCCCACAGAATAGCCAGATCAAAGCCTTCATCAGTTGTACTGTTGGTAATAACAAAAATAATGTATGGGGCATGGTAGGTAGAAAGATAAATGATAGATAGATAGATAGATAGATAGATAGATAGATAGATAGATAGAGAGAGAGAGAGAGATAGATTTGCTGCTTATTGAAAATTCAAATTTAACCCAAACTATATGGAATGGGAACAGACTTGTTTGCATTTTAGCTAAAGTTGGCAGCCCTGCAGCCCCGCAGCCCTGCAGCCCTGCAGCTCTGCAGCCCCTTCCACTAAAGGCATGCTCTTTCAACTCCATTTTTTTCTAAAGAGGACACAGCTCAGTGGTCCAGCACCTGCCTAGCACACAGGAAGCCCTGAGTCTAGCCCATTCTCAGCACTGAAAATGCAGTATAAAATTCTCTGTAACAGTATTAGTCACAATAGCTCACATATACTATGCACTCACCTTGGAATTATACTATGACACGGATGCTTACATTTCTTAATACATGCGAATATGAATTGGAACTGCAGGTGTAGCTCAGAGGTTGAGCAGGCATGCAGAAGGCCCTCGGTTTGGTCCCCAGGTACTAAAGTAGGAACAAACATATGTGAATTTTATTAATGCACTGTGCACACGACCCTATGAAATATGAGCCATTTATCCTCGTTTTACTTATTACAACAATAACAGTAACAATGAGACTGAAGTCATTAATGCACACACTGCTTCAGAGTGATGGCCTCCCACCTCCGTGAAGCCCACATTCTTGCCGTCTCCCGGCAGCCCCAGCACTCGAACCTGCCTTCAGCCCACTAAAGCCAGCTGGCTGTTCCAGCTCTTCTCTGCCCATCAGGGTGAGTTCCTCAGATTCCCATCCACCAGGAAAGGTCAAAGCTGGCAGCAGCAGCTGACAAAGCAACTCTTGAGACCTCCCCTAGTCCACCCCCATGCGAATTCCACCCATTATTCCACTCTTGGAGCTTTTAAAAGCCCAGGTGTAGGAGCTTTGTCGGGGGGAATTTGAAAGATAAATAAAGCAAAATCCCCTTGACAGGGCTCTCAGTTCTAGCTTTGGAGAGCTCGCACTTCTAGGATCCAGCTGCCCATGTAAGGAGACAAGGGTTAGGTCTTAATCCTGACTCCAAGACTAGAGAAACGATGGAGTGGGTGGCAGGGTTGCTCCCACTTCTACATAAAGGGGACGACTAAAATAAAGCCAGAAACACCTAGTGGAGTTAGCCTCACAGGGGCGAGCAGACAGACATAAACTAGACACTTCGGCCAGGACTCACCCTTACGTTCCATGGTCAGCTGGGTTGTATGAACCCAAGTGACATTGTTAGAAAACTTCCTAGAAGGAATCCTGCAAAGCAATATCAGTGTCCACGGGAGTGTCCATGAGAGCCGTGAGAAGTATCACCGTAGTGAGTGGCGTGTGAGAGTGGAACACCCACAGCTGTCAGTGTTCACCAGTAAGAACTTTCTGATTGGGTTCCTTTGCAAATAAATAAATGATCTATCTAAGATCATTTGCTCTTCAGTAAAAATAATAATGATTTTTATTCACCAATGAAGTGTCAACTAATTAAATATTAATTTTCAATAGATGCATATTATCTCCTATGGGTGGGATCGTGTTGATGCTGTGGAATTGTTGTGGAGATGCATCATTTATACCTCCTTGGTCATCTCCTGGTCTTGGGCTCTGAAATCATCCCATGGAATCAGAAAGCATTGTCATAGGAAGCACGGGGTCAGAGAGATGTAGGGGTGGGGTAACATGGAGGACTAGAGAGAGTGGGAGAGGAATGGAAGAGGGAGAGAAAAAGAGAGAGACAGAGACAGAGAGAGACAGAGAAAAGAGAAGAGAAGGCAGGAACTTGAGCTTAATAAAGTCATAAACCAAGAAACACAAATGTCTTCTAATAGCAAAGCAAGTGACAGGTTTCAGTCTAGAGTATGTTGAAGAACAGAGAGCCCTTTGAACACCTTTACTTTAGGACATCTGGAGCCCAGAACTGTAAGAAAACAATTTCATATTATTTTAAACCCTTAAATTGGTAGTGATTTATTAGGACAGCAAAAGCAATTAATTAATACACAGTAAAGGGAGAAAAGAGAAACTTGTAGCCTTACCAGTTTTCTTAAAAAGAGGCATCCAAACACAAGAATAAAAAGAAATGGGAAGGAAAAGTGCATTATAGTAATTGGCACAAACACTTCAAATTGTCGATTGGGTATTCATTTGTTTGTTGAAGCACTGCTTCATATAGCTCAGGCTGGCTGCAAACGTCTCAACACTTGCAGGAAACCATCCTTCCTCAGCCTCCCAAGCACTGAGACAGACTGGTTTAAAGCATCTCACTAATACAATGAGATAAGCAGTTAACCAACAGTTAGGTAAACACCAGGAAGAAGCCATCACTTTCAAATAGCATGGATAAAAATGTGGTTTCTGGAGTCTGCGCCCTCACCAACCAACAGAGACACTAGACAGTAGGTCTCACTCACTTTGGAGTTTCTTGTGGAGGCTCAGAGGGAAAACCAGTGTGCACCTGTGCCACGCTAGTCACCCTGGGTGTCCCTATGTCTGTGCTAATAGCAAACATGCATACTTCTTTCTGTGAAGTCTCTCTCTGCATAGGAAAGAAGAAAGATGTGAATTTGAAGCTGGGTTGGTGGTCCATACAACAATGCCTCAGAGGGGCCTTTGGAACAGGCCATAGCTTGAATTTCAAGGCTCTGATAGCCTTTTTGGACATTTGTGCTTCCCCAAAGCTTAGTCCTGAGTACATAACCTTGAATGTTTCATGGAGCCCATAGAACTCCCCACCATGTAGTGGCATTTCATATGTATTTTAATAAATAAAGCTTGCCTGAAGATCAGAGAGAAAGGCAGCCACACTGGTTAGCCTTACAGACCAGGCAGTGGTAATACACGCCTTTAATCCCAGTAGCCACACTAGCAGCCATAGAAACTGGGCAATGCATGCCTTAATCCCAGTGGTGCATGCCTTTAATCCCAGCCCTAGAGAGGAATATAAAACAGGAGGAGATAGCTCTCAGACACAGTCTCATTCTGAGATTTCTGGAGGCAGGATCGCCATATCAAACTGAGGTTGAGGTAAGACTGGCTGCTTTGCTTTTCTGGTCTTCAGGTTGAAACCTGATATCTAGCTCTGAGTTTTTATTAATCATGCTTCACCACCAATATGACTATGTCTACACAAAGCAGAGATTTGTAAGAGTACAAAATATGCCAAAATCACAGCCACAGGCAGAGAGAATACTCTAGCAAGTAAGAATCTTTCTTTGAAATCATTCCGCATTCTGTTTATCACCTAATACCAAATTCCCAGGCTTGACACCTTTCTGAATTTTCACCGGGCCAATCAGAAATCAGCTGACATTACTTCTGCTTTTATCTTCAGTCCAAAATATAAGAGACCCAAGCACTTTAACATTCAACCCTGTAGATTCCGCATGGTCATTTCCCTTCTTCAATCTCCCTTTTCTCCTACTCTTCCAATCCCAAACAAGCCCTAGAACTTTCCACCTAGGGGCTGGGAGGATGACTTACTCAGTTGAGTGTTTGGGTCCCCAATACTCAAATTAAAAGTGGGGAGGGGAAAGTTGGATACAGTGGCATACATCTAAAATCTCAGCTCTGGGACAAGCATCAAGCTGAATCGGTGAGAGACCCTGTCGTAAAACAAATAAATAACAAGGTGGAAGACAACTAAAGAGGATTCTTGACATTAATCTCTGGCCTCCACGTACATGTTCATGCATATACAAGTATATGCATGCATGTATACATCATGATGATGATGATGATGAAGAAGAAGAAGAAGAAGAGGAGGAGGAGGAGAGAGGAAGGAAGAGGAAGTATTATTGCTACTACTACTATTCTAAGTCTGGCCTGGGTTTCTTAGATATGTCAGAGTAACCCTTGGTCACCACAATGACAGAGTGGTTCCCTTCACTTTCCATATCTGTCATCTAGGTAGCGTGTTCTACCATCCTTTCTCTTATCATCTTAGCTTCCCTTTGAGTGCCTTTCTAGATCAAGTGTCATCAAACTATGACATTTGATCCAATGATCGATCCAACCTAAACCCACGCTTAGTACCAGCCATAGCCAAGAGTGTTTCATAACCATCTAGTAGTATCCTTGGGCTGAAGGATGGAGCCCTGAAAAGTCATAGGGAGCTAGAAAAGTTCTCCAAACCCACCTACTTATTGACACATTATCACTGGTTGTTTGTGTCTACCAGTGCTGCTTTGTAAACCAGCAACTCTTAACATTTGCCTCCAGGCAATCAGGTTATACAAGCTAGTCGAAGATCAATGCCATTTCGTTGCATGGTTTGTGGCCATCTAAATATTTCACTAACATTTATTATTAATCTGTGTTTTGCTTATCCAACAACTATCTAGTGTCAGGTCCTACAGCGTTCCAGTTGCCTAAGACAGTTGTTAGCCTTGTGCTCGGTTCCAGTAGAAGAGACACTGTGTGCATCGGGTCAAAGACACAATTGCTGCCCTCTCCTTTCTGACTTGTTCTCTTTGCTCATGACCTTCCTTTTCTGAATGAGACTTCACATACATTCTTCCAGATTCCCACGGTCCTTGTCCACTGACCTCCTCCGTTCACTAGTGTCCTTGCTTTCACAGAGCTAGATTTGTATTTAAGGCAGTTATGTTGTGTGTGTGTCTACCCCTCAAGCCTCAAGCTCCTAGAGGTCAGGGGCCATAATTGGTTAAATTTGGGGACCAGTTAAATGGTCAAATGTCTGGCACATAAGAGTTCCCTAAGTATTTTTGAACTTGTTTTCGTTCTCAAAACACTGTACTTGTATGTTGTATATATATATAGATAGATAGATAGATATAGATATAGATATAGATATTATACACATACATTCAGCTCATTTGTTATATGAATTTTGGCTTCCCTGGGATTCAGATTCCAAGAGAAAACAATGGTCACTTCCCAAAGATGACTGAAAAAAATAAACATATATATCAAATTTATAGAACAACTCCTAATACTTATAACGGCTCTGCAAATATAATAAATTTAATGACAATGCCAGCATACTGTATTCTTTTAACCCTAAGTTTTTTATTGAAAGTTAAAAGTGACAAGGTCCTTCTCCTGAAGGAATGTGGCATCTTTATCTATGTTTCCTGTCACACAATGTAGTTTGCAGGTCTGACTTCCACAAAGTTGTAGGACTGCAGGTTGAAAGTCCTACAATGTGATGGCAGAGGAAGGATGAAGGGGTGGGGTACCCCTGAATACCAGAGGGCTAAGGGCAAAGATGTGTCAATCAATTTAGTGGTCAAAGGACCTCTGAGGAACTCACTGCTGATAATTTTATTTTCATTTTAGAGAGAGAAAAAAACAGTTTTTAGTTGCAACTTACTGTGTTGAGCGCTCTTTCTCCTAAACAAAACTCCAGTAGACTTTGCCTTTAAAATCCCAAGAGGAACTACATCTTCCACCTGCCTGCCCAATTGATTGTAGGAGCCAGGACTACAACACACAAGCTAAAATGCTAGAACCATCTATGGATGTGG